GGGGCGTTCACCTGACACCTGAACACGGTCTGTTCCTCTTTCCCAGCAGGAGCTAATTCCCCTAGCCAGCATCCTTTTCTTAATGGCTGTGCACACCTGTGCAATTATCGAGTGCTGGCCACTGCTAAAGCCTGGATCTAGGCCTGGGGATCTCATCTTCCCTCCTGCAGCACCATGAAACCTCCCAGTTCCAGGATCCCAAACGTAATCCTCACAAACCCTTGCTTCCTGATTGTTCCGGACTTGTTCTCTTTAAAGTGTTTTGAACCTGTTTGGTACTCGCTTGCTTGTATCTTATTTTATCTACCCACGAGTGTGCCAATTAAGGCTGCATATGGACTATGAAAAACACAACAAACATCTGCTGGATGATCTTACATTTTTAAACAATGTTACTCACCACTTTATCTAAGAACCAATATTTATTAAAAAGGCAGATCCTAGAATCTGTCTAGTAATAGGATAGGCTATAAACCTTTTAAGTTGAGTACTATATTAATGACCATTTTTTCCTATACAGGATTAACTATTGCTTTAGATACAGTATTTCAAGAGTATGCAAGTAGAAATAGCAGTTCATTTTGGGCCAGCCAATGGGCCATGTCATTGTTGAACATCTAAATCACCGCTCTTGAAGTGGTTATAATTAGGCAAGTTTAATCCTCAGACTTGATTCTTGGTTTTTAAATATTTACTTGCATTCTCTCCCTATCAAAGCATTAGTGTGAGGCTGCCCTGTTTCCTTCCTGAGCTCAGGGCTGATTAGATGAACACAAAACTGTTATATGACAAAGGGATTGTCAGAAATACTGGAATGAAATGGTTGGTGTGGTATGAGACAGTTCAACTGCCTGACACCAAGTTTTCTACCCCGAAAATACAAGTGAATTACATAACACACCAAGATTAGTAAGGCTACACTCTTTTAACACTTAACAGTTTAATAGGGGAGATTCAGGATCTTATAAATACCTATTCCTGACTTGTTCTCTTGAAAGTGTTTATCCATTTTCATTTTAAAAAATACAACACACATTTATCATTTGTAGCATGTATGACCAGTTTTAGAGACCTTATGGTTGGCCATTACTTCCATATCCTTTGATCTTCTAAAAACTGCATTAATTCACATGCCGTCGCTGTTCGGGTATTCATCAGTTACTGGAGTAGCAGCATCAGGGATTCCTTCACCTACGCTCTTTAATGTGGATGAGGAAATCAAGGGATTTCAACGAGGGTTGAAGGAGATAAATTTGTAGCATGTATGGCCAGCTTTAGAGACCTTATGGTTGGCCATTACTTCCATATCCTTTTGATCTTCTAAAATCTCATGTCCTTACTAATATGTTTTTTATGGACAACTCAGACCCAAAAGAATTATAAAGTCATGCTACAGCATAAAGGAATCTGTGTTACAGGAAACCAATTTACAGTGCATTTGCCTGGTGCTGCCACATAAACTCCAGGACAGTCTATTGAAAATGTGCAAAGAAGTTGATTGCGAAAGATGCCGGTAACCTCAACATAAATGGTACATTTGTGCTTGCAAACGAGAAGTTCTAGTGATGTGTCAATCAATACCTACTTCCTTACCAACAACTTCCTCTTTTACTCTGTCATCCAGAATTTGGCATTTATTTTATTCTTTTTTCTTCACATAATTTGTTAAGCAAACTTTTGGATATTTGTTATACTTTTTCTGGCATATTTAAAATTGACTGTTTCCTATATATATATATATTATGTACTTTACTTTCCACTTTACCAATAACTGCTGGCATTTAACCTCTTGTCATTCATCTTAACTCTAATTTGTTTTTACTCCATTGACTTTTGGATTGTTAGATCTGTTGTCAGCTTTCAGCATTGCTAAACTGGAATTTTTCTGGGGGAAAAAATCCATGCATGTTGCTGGCCTTTTTTAGGAAAATGTGGCGCTAATTTAATGTTATGTATTTATTTTTCCTCCAAAACCTTCTAAAGCCCAAAAGAAAAAAAAAATATATTGCAGCCTATTCATCATTAGCTGTGGTGGTTGCTTTAGTTTTTTATTTTTTTCAGGCTTTTGCCTTTATTTTTAACTAGTAATGCTGTGAGTGACACACTTTCTGTCCCTTGATGTCTACTCTTCTTTTTCTATCGATGGGGGCAGACATGGTTTCACACAGACTGGGCTTTAAACATGTCTGCCTTTGTCCATCACCATTATGGTGGATTGATGGGTCTAGTCGTTTATGCAAGAAGATCAGGTTGAAAAAAGACACAAGTCCATCAAGTTCAACCTTATAGAGATACGGAGAAAGAAAAGAAAAGAAAAGCCTAAACAGGACTCTATGCCCACAGCTACTCCCCTGTTGATGCAGAGGAAGGCAGAAAAACCTCTAGAAATCATGGTTCAATTTGCCTTATGGGATAAGGAAGGATTTTTTTTCCCCTGTAGGAGCAATGTGTGGCTACTCCCTGGATCAACAATCTCTGATGCCTAATATGCCTATAAGAACTCCATATCCAGTAATATTCTGTGCATATAGAAATTCATCCAGATTTTTTTTTAAACAATTAACTGAGCTAGCTAGAACTAGCTCCTGGGGGAGCCTATTCCACATTTTCACAGCTCTAACTGTGAAGAGTCCTTTCAAACCTTTCAAAGGTTAAACATATTTTCCTCCAGATGCAAAGAGTGTCCCCTTGTCCTTTGCAGTGACCTTAACGTGAATAATTTTGCACCAAGCTCTTTTATATGGACCATTTATGTATTTATACATGGTGATCATGTCCCCCCTTATTGCCTCTTCTCCAGAGAGAACCAATTCAGGTCAGCTAATCTTTCCTCATAGCTGAGCTCCTCCATGCCTCTTATGAGTTTAGTCGCCCTTCGCTGCACTTTCTCCAGTTCCACAAAACTGAACTGCATATTCCAGATGAGTTCTTACTAATGCTTTGTACAGTGGCATGATTATGTTTCTATCTCTGGAATACAAGAAAGTATTTTGCTTGCTTTAGAAACTGCAGCTTGACATTGCATGCTATTATTGAGTCTATGGTCTACCAGGACACCCAGATCTTTCTCCATCATTTACTCCCCCAAACATACTCCCCCTAAAGTGTATGAAGCATGCATGCTTTTACATGCATGCTTCATACACTCTCTTCTACCCCAGCCCTCTCCAGAGGGACCATGTCGCCTGCAAGATTTATAGGGATCAATTCCTACTGCTCCTTTACTTTGTATGGTCCTGACTCTTCAGTATCCTTTAGTTGGTTTAGACCCTGCTCACAGCACTGGCCCTTATGTCTACCTTTGTGCTTTTCTTCTGACATACCCATTGTGGAAGGCTCAGGAGACTGTCACTGAATGTCTGTGTCCTAGTTGATCCCACTCAATGCCAAGCTGAGGCTCCTAGTGTCTTCATTTATTGTGGTCCTTTGTCCTTTACTGCTTTGGGGGGTTTATGGGATTGTTTGGGTATTTAATTTACCATGGTTCCACTTCAATCCTTTTTTTTTTTCCCCCTAAGGCACCAAGCTGATCCTTCGACCAAGACGATTTTGGCCAGGGTGGGAATTATCCTTTTCGCCTATCCTGAGAGTTTCTTTTCATGCATATGTCCCATTGCCTGCTCATTGAGTCTAATTCTATGGAACACACACTTTTGAAAGTCCTGTACTTCCCTGGAGGGTCAGCAGGCAACTCCGTCACCCTGCTGCAGAAATTCCCTAATGTGAGATAGTGTAAGTCCACCAAGCTGCAGTCTTCTGAGGAAGTCTCCTTACATTCCGTTCCTCATGCTATTCTCTATGAAGCTATTATTACTAGTGTTATTACAAGGATTCCTGCCCCTAGCTTCTCTGCTGAGGATTCTGCCCTCACATGGCTAAGTGTGATGATCCCTAGAATCTTAGAATACCTATCAGGTTTGCTCTGTGGCTAGCACACCCCTAAATACCTAATGGTTGGAAGGATTTCTTTTCATCCTTCTCATCCTACTCCTGCTATTCTTGAACATCAGGTTGTGTTACGGTGCATCCTCGCCTGGCCACTTATGTGCATATCAAGAAAGTTAGTGTCGTCTACAGTTTGTGTTTTTGTGTATTTAACAGACAATAACTATTGTATCAAGGTTCATGGTATAGATCAAATTCATCAACGCACATAAAAATTCCCTAACATCATGTTGCAGTCATATCTGAGGAGTTAATGGTAAATCACTTTTTACCAGGACTCAGGTGTCTACGTGCTGATATGGAACATCTGTCCCCTGAACATGAGGTAAGTGTTATATTTCTGTACTTACTCTGATGTCTCAATAACAGTGTTACGCTGTCCTCGGCTCTGCTTTGTTAATGAAAGTGTAGCGTAGCACTTAGAGTGCTGAGGCCAAGTATCTAAGTACAGAAAAAATACATGCATGTATGGGCAGCATGGCAATGTAATCTGGCAGCAGTGCCTGAAACCAGTTCCTGCGTATGGATCTTGAGTTTTGCTTTCAGATTCGTAAGGGTCCCAGTTGTAGAATTTCTTCTGGTGGTCTTTGTTACTTGGTTTAATAAGGTTAAAAAAAGACTGAGGTCTATGAAATTCAACTTATCGCAACTCCTGTAATCTTAATTCGGAAGATTTGTTTAATAGCTCTACACAATTTTGTGTCAGTAAATTGGCATCTTTACTATATATAGTGTTTTATTCCACGGATCATTAATAGAGTGCAAAGATCCGGGTCCACCGATCCCTGTGGTTTTGCCATTTTTAACTTTCTATTTTGATCATGTATGCTTTTTGTCTTCTTTCTTTTAACCAGTTCTTTACCCATGTGCAAACATTCAGCCTGACGTTTGCATACTCAACTTCTGAACTGTGTTCAAACACTAGCAAAAACTAGCAAAATTCAAATATACTGCAAAAGCATATTCAATATCCAAATCTGAACTTACCTTCACTTAATTCCGATCATTTTAGTTAGGTTTGACCTATGTTTGATAAATCCATGCTGATTCTTTGTTGTGAAATTGTATACAGTTATATACTTTTGTATGTGGTTCCACAGAGTACTTGCACACAATAAAAGTTAGTTCTATTAATACCCAACTTTAGCTCCCCCCGCCCCCCTTTTTAAGTACTGCTATGATATCTGCTATAGGCCAGTCTTGTAGGAACATCCCAGTTGACGGTGTAAAAAACAAACAGCTGTCTGCCATAACGTTACGATCACCCGCCTAATATTGAGTAGGTCCCCCTTTGCCATTAAAACAGCCCTGACCGGTCAAGGCATAGACTTCACTAGACCTCTAAAGGTATGCTGTGGTATATGTCACCAAGCCGTTAGTAGCAGATCTTTTAAGTCCTGTTAGTTGCGAGGTAGGGCCTCCTTTGCTCCCCACTTGCATCAGTGATGCTTGGCCGCCAATGACCCTGTCACCAGTTCTCCAGTTTTCCTTCCATGGATTGCTCCTGACCACTGCAGCCCGGGAACATCTCAAAGAGATGAAGTTTTGGAGTTGCTCTGACCCAGTTGTCTAGCTATCATAATTTTGCCCTTGTCAAAGTCGCTCAAATCCTTATGCTTGCCCATTTTTTCCGCTTCCAACACATTAACTTCAGGGATAAAATGTTCAATTGCTGCCTAATATTTCCCACCCACTTCCAGATGCCATCGTAGCAAGATAATCGATGTTATTCACTTCAGCTCTCAGTGGTCACATTGTTATGGCTGATCGGGGGAAATTGCAATACTGTATCAGTTACTGAGCCTAATTGTGTTAGCACACAGGAATGGATGCCATGTTTGTTGGCAAGGAGCTTTATCTTAACTATGATTAGGTGTAACCACACTGCTCCCTGTGTTAGGCCAGTAACATTGAATGGGCAGCATTGGTTCTCTCTGTCCACTTAGTATCTGCCATGGGTCATTTTTTTATGACGACTGATAAATAATACGTACCCAAGAGTTTGAACTTTTTTGTTTGTCCTATACAGTTATAGGACCTCTAAAACAGAACTTGAGAGATATAAGACTTCTTCCTTTTTAGCTTTTATATACTTGCAAATGTGGGGTGGATTTAATTTATTATCATGTTATGACTTTGTTGTAGACTCTTGGGATTCCAAGTTTGGGTTAATTCAGTAAGATGAGAAGACATGATAATATGTAATTAGTATACAAGTTGATAGCTGAAAATTTATTTTTGAGTGGTTGAGATGGGTTTCTGCACTTTGTACATTGATCGAGGTTGTTGCCTTTTACAGTGTCAGTTTTGTTTAGCACCAAAAGCAGGATGTTCATTGCACAATAGATATTTTTAGTTCTATTTTAAAAATGTCCTGTGTTTATAAAAGCACATGGTATGCTTAGCCAAATTCGATAAATTTTAATGTCTACAGACCATGTTTTCTCAGTATCACATGTTATTGGTTACAGGATTTGATAATGGACAAACATGTTTTAATCCCATGTGTTGTCACATCTCTCTCCTTTGCAAGGTTATTTTAAGCTCCATGATAAAAGAATGTGAACATAAGGTGGAAAACAAGACAGCCCAGGAGCCACAAGGGTAGGTGAAATGATTCACATATAAGCATAACTGGTTTTATGTCGTCTGTGTCTAATTTCTACAGTGTAAGTCAGGATTAGCCAAAATGTGTCTATCTAAATTCCCCACTTTATGCATAACCAGAAATCAGATCTCCACTGTCAGGTTTTCTCTTCAGAGCTGCACTGAAAACATGACCAGCATTATTTATTATCCATTCAATGCAATATTCAGCTGGCATTAATTACAGTCTGATCCCACATACTACTACATCAAGACCCCATTTACATCTATGAATGAGGCCGATCGCATGAGTCTCATGAGTTCCCCCGTGAGAATTTTCTGATCTCCTGCGGACAGAAGGCGCTATATACTCCAATGACCGCTGCCACCACCCACAGCTGTTAGCAAGAGTCGCACAGAGGTATTGAGGCTCATACGATCAGCCCCATTCGGAAATTGTAAGCCCTCACAGGCAGGGCCCTCCTTCCAATCTTGCCTTGAATGGCATTGTGAATGTAATATCTTCCTTCCAAAGTGATGCGCAAACTGTTGGCGCTATATAAATCCTATATAATAATAATAATAATGGAGCCTCAGGTTGACTGGTATGAAAGTGTATACAGTGAAGATGTTAGAAAAAGTTGTTGAGAGAAGAGATTGTGAAGTGGAAGGCCAGGTGCACTACATCTAATGAAAACAGTGTCACCCTACCCTGTCACCGTCTTCATACCGCCTGTAAATGTCAAGCTTTACCGCACCTCACACAGCTTCATACCAGTCTGTTCTGTAAGCCTGTAAAGAGAGAAATATGTAGGCTGCCAATGCTGACCCCTCCAAAAATAGCCATTTTCCTTGCTGTTACTCTGACCACTGGCTTTAATACTTTGAGTATGCAGATTAGCAAAGTTCATGTGTCAGAAAATCATGATCTGGTTCAGTATGTTAGAGCGTTGATGCTAGAAAGCCAGAAGCGAAGCAACTTGTGTTTTTTAGAAGTGGTCGTTAGCAGCAGCCATTACGTTTGTTTCATGACTAGCTTCCTTTAGTGTGATGAGTGACCACACTGGTCAATAGGGGGTTCTGCAAGCCTAGAACTACAGCTGCCTGTATTTCTTGATCTACCGAACGTTTTGACATGCAGATTTTAATGGAGGTAACCACTACATATGTATTTTCCCATCATAAGTCAGTTTAGGGATGGAAATGGGCCCTTCTTAGTTCCCTCTGCTCCAGCAACCAATCAGATTCCAGCTTGCTAGAGTGTTATCACTATAACACTCGTAGCGTATAACACTAGAACGTTCATTTTGATTTGGCTTGTTATGGGTTACAATACTTTGTACTGTTCAGCTTTAAAAGCAAGTTGACCTAAATGCTAACTGTAGCCTGTAGGAAAGGTTGAGTTTTACCCAGAGCTAAAAGGTAACCTGAGAAAGAGCACTAGAACATTTCTAAAAACTGGTTTCAGATGACATTTGGCACCTACTGTGTATTTTTGGATCCGTAGTCGTGTTTAGTTCTTTTGGTCCCTGGCTGTACAGTGTCATTCCAGAATGTATAAATTGCATTTTGTGATTCAGTATGTGCTGTTGTGGAATGGTGTTCAATTCTCTTATGGACATTGGACTTATTCCCAACTTACATTTTGCAGCCAAGAAATAATTGTGTAATTTCCATGAGCTAGTAGAATATTTATTATTTTTTGACTTATGGGTATCTTTTTACCTAGAACTGGTTTTGATCATGTTTTTTAATTATTAATATTAATGTTTATTTGTGTTTAAATGTATGCAATACATCTCGGCAAACATGCATAAAAAAAACTGCAAGTACAAAAAAAATCCTCTTTATTCTGACAGCGATTCAGTGTGATCCCGACTTCCTGTATAAGCTGACATCAGTGCCTCTGCTGCACTGAAATCCTAAGCAGATTTGTCGGCCCTGATTTTAATTGTATCCTGCTTAACTACAGAGCAGATCCCTCTATCCTCATACCTATGCCACTAGGAGGCGTTGTTCTTTAGTCCAGAAAGGAGGACTGGGCAGGGCTGACAACACTCCAAAGTATTGTCAGCTCTAACAGGAAGTTATGAGCACACTGGATTTCTGGCAGATCAACAGGTTCTTTTTCCGCACTTGCAGCATTTTTACAGGTTTAAAACATGTAGAAATGTATTGAATATATTTGGGGGATTTTATTATGCCCAGACATATACTATAAATGCATTTTCAAGCTCCAAATTGATATTTTTATTTCTCAGAATAATTTGTTCTGTTTTGCTGGAAAGCCTGTGACATTAACAAAAATGCATTGACATATGCATCGGTATGTCTTTGTCCTGTCACTCGCTGTATGCTTCAGCATTTCCATTAGACATTATTGCTGTCGTTGCAGTAAGAATTTGTGGTAACGTGTCATTGTCCTTTCCATACTGGCCTCCCAGATCTTTCCAGGGCAATGTAGTAGTTCATGTGTTAGCTGACCTGTACCTGTTGAGCTGTCTGTTGGGTCTTCGTATAAGGTTTTGTATAGTATAAAATGTTGCCTGTGAAAGTGAATGCAGAGTTAAAAGCTGGGATTTGCAGAAGCGCTGCGTGTAAGTGGTCTGTATGTTGTGTTTGCATGCTATACAGAGAGCATATGAATTAAAGACTTGTCCTGAAATGGGAAGTTCCCTTTAGGTCTATGAGTGTTGCTTCCCTTACAATGCCTTCCTCTTTTTATGTCTTCCTTCCAGATTTCATTTTAAATTGTTGCTATTTTGAAAAGAAGTCTTCAAATATGCTCACACCAAATCTGTACATCTAACGTGTACTGATAGGTTTTCGCAGTTAAATTCAGATGGCTTTTATAAATTGAGAAACGCGGGTCAGCTGAACAAAAATGCAGCAAGTACTATTTTTTGTCACAATCACATGTATTTTTTTTTCCTGTACATTTAGGCCAGGTTCACACCTAGGCGATTCAGATGCCGAGCTGTTTTCGATCACGCGACTGTTCATTGAAAACCACACGGTTATCAATGTATAGAGATGTCTATGGGACACAAACCGTGCGACAACCGCCCGAAAATCACTCCTGCACCTTTTCGAGGGACAGGCGATTTCGTCTGTGCGACAAACCGCAAAGGTGTAAACAGACTCCATTGACTTCAATGTTAATCTGTGTTTTGCATGACCCAACCTGTGCGATAAATCACCTAGGTGTATACCTAGCCTTAAGTCCATTAACACTGCAGTGCGCTCTGTCCTATGCTGCAATTTAATAGGTCAGATTAGAAATATGAGCGATGCCACTGCAGAGTCAGTCCAAGGGTCGGAGCACTCTTGAAGCGCACCGCATATGTGGGGTCAGGTATTTAACAAAAAGTACCTGTCAGATTTCAGGTGACCTCTGACCCCCTGACACGCCAACTCAAGTGTCAGGCTGAGGAAATTTAAAGGGTATCTATGGTAAAAGAATAAATATGCATTTCTATTTTGTTTCCATAAGTTCTATCCCACTCCTAATAACCATATCCATCTAGAGGTTTGTAAACTTACTTATTGAAGATGCCCATAGGATGTACTTCCTAAATCCGCTGACACAATTTCACCCAGCCCTGTAAATATGACTTCCTTGTGTCACATCTCACAGAGCCTGCCTTCTGAGCTACAACTCAACATCTAGCCAATGTGACCTTATCAATGCTTGCTAGAAGCAATGCATTATGGGTTATGTAGTCTTGAGAAATAAAGATTGCCTCACATCAGGCAGCAAGGAAAGAGATGTAAAGCACCCTGGGAATCCAGGAAGTTGTTGAAGTGATGGGCAGAGCGAAGGTAGCACTCACTATATAAAAGTGATTTTTAAAGCTTTTATTGCATTTTTAAAAACTATAGTATGTATTCCCATTACAATGCAGATGTAATAACAAGATAGTGTATGCTGTGACTTTAGAACTCTTTAAAGAGACACTAAACTCAGGAGTTAAGCCCTAAAAATGCATTCAAGTCAGTGCAGTCATTTTAATTAAAGCTAAATGAGGGGCGTTTGCATATTTGACAAGTAAACCTGCAAATTAAAATATTCAGAGACCAAATATTCTTTCACCAGCATAACCACAATAATCGCAAATACTGCTGCAGGGTATGGTGCAGTCAGCTGCATATTTAAGTGTGTTACCTGCTGTGCGTTTTGGCCTATTTTCTGCTGAGTGCAAAGAAGGGTGTTCTGCAAGTTCACCTTTCCTCATATTCCGAATGTGCTGTGAAACCAATACAAATGTTTAAACCCACAGTGTCGTTAAGGGCTCATTCACACTATCTGCATCCGGGCTGTGCTGGCAGTGCAGCCCGAACACATGACAAGGCAATTTGCCCGCCACTGCATTCTGGCATGCAGTACATTTTTTTAAGCGCACTGCAGTGAGCCCATAGCACTTAGTGAAAGTTCTAACAAAACAAAAAAAGAAACGGTGAGATGTGGCTTGATCAAGAGCATCAGCACTGTCCGGGCACATGTACACCAGCAGCTTTGTGGTTGAGCGCAGCTGCTGGTGTGAACAAGCCCTAACAGTTCAGACCAGCTCACCCCTAATCTGCTCCCTCTGGTATCTCCTGCAGGAGACGCAATCTGCATGCAATCTGCATGCAAGATAAACTTCAAAGCTTTATTCTATGGTGGGCTTAAAGCTTTAGTTTTTATTTTATCATTTATTTTCTATAGTGACTTCAAATACAGTGCTGTGATCGGTTCACATTAAGAGCCCATGTAGTCTTGCATTATTCATTAACTCAATGTCCTGCATTTAGTTCCTGTTGATCTACAGTGGTTTATTTATTTACATTTGCATTGCGGTGAATTCATTAATGACAATATACTGTATTCAGTAGTTATCCATTTTTTTGTTGTTGCATCAGCATTAATGAACTGCCTAAAAATGATCTTGGGATTGACATTCTATAGAGCTTTCAATACTTTAGGCATGGTCATCATTGTTACCAGAACCCTTGTGCTGCTCTTTGTGTTAAGGTAC